AGAGTACAGAGTACAGAGTAAGAAACAAATAGTTGAGGAAAACTAGGAACAAGTGAAAAAAGAAACTTAAAATGACACAAAAAAGTGGAAAGACATCCCATGTTCCTGGATCAATATGATCAAAATGTCAATTCTACCCGAATTAATCTACTAATTTAATGCCATCCAGATCAAATTACTGGAGATATTAATCACAGAATTAGAACAACATCGTAAAATTTATCTGGAATCATGAGACCAGTAGTTGGCGTAACGGCTGTCACTGGACTCCCATGTGTTTGAGTCCCAGACCCAGTGGCTTAAACTCACACTGGGCGCATGTGCATGTGTGCCCAAGATCCCAAGGGGAATGGAGGAGAAGGGATGGTGTGGCCATCCCCCTTGGTGGGGGGTGATTTCTCACCTTATGTCTCTCTGTTTCTCTCTCTCTTTCTGGCGAGCACACGTGCCCTATAGAAAAAAACTTTAAAAAATAAAAATTATCTGGAATCATGAAAGACTCCCTATCACTGAAGCAATGATAAACAAAAATAATGGAGTAGGAAGAATCTCACTCCCTGACCCCAAAATATATTACCAAACTGTGATAATCAAAACAGTATGGTAATGGCACAAAAACAGGCATGTACACCAACTGAATAGAATAGAGACTCCAGAAATAAAACCCCAAACATACAGCCAACTGATTTTTTACAGAAGACATAAGACAATCCAGTGGGAAAGAACAATATCTTTAGCAAATGGTGCTGAATATCCACTTGCAGAAGAATGAAACTGGACAATCCAATGGGGAAAGAACAATCTCTTCAGCAAATGGTGCTGGATATCCACCTGCAGAAGAATGAAACTGGACCCTCATCTCTCACCATTAACAAAAATCAACTAAAATGGATCAAAGATTTGATAGAAAGTGGATGAATATGGAAAATTTAATGCTAAGTGAAGCAAACCAGACTCTGAAAGAGAGGGACTATATGTCCCCACTTAAACATATACTTAATGTTTGTACTCTATGGCAGAAACTGAAAGACTGGCAGGTATAAAACCATGGAGAGTTACTGTGGATAAGTAAGTGTGGAAGAAGGGTGGGAAATGTGGAGGGTAGGAAGGACGAAATCAAAGAAACAAAAAAAAGAAACCATTTAAAGGGCACAAAAATGGGAAACTATGTTGATGAAAATATGCATGGCAATATCTTTTATTGGAGAGTGTATTCATTTTTGGGAAAAATAAACAAACAGAGACAAATAGTTGCAAAAGTGTCAACTCCCTGAAATTAATCTATGAATAAAGAAGTAAATAATACTCTGAAGTTTGACAATATGGACTTACCAAAATCTTAAGTTGCCTATGACTATGTCATTCATTTTTTGATACACAACAAACCTCCAAATGTTCTCCTTCCACCAACACACTAATTATTTCCATGTGAAGTTTCTCATAAAACTCTAAGAAGTACTTTATTCCTTTCATAAACACTGACATTCATCAGTAACAGGTAACAAATAAATATGTTCCTCAGCAGTGAACAGATCATTTTACTGCACAAGTAAATTAATTTATCCTAACCCACCAATCTTCACTTTCTTGACTGTTTCCTAGCATGGATTGATAGGAATTATCAAAGACTTTTGGTTTTGAGGTTCAACTATTCATGAGTGTGCATGCATGCACTTATAGGCACACACACACACACACACACACACACACACACACACACACATAACATGTCAACCTTGATTGAAAAGAAGATATCATTACCTTTTTTGCTCCTGTATGAAAAGTTTAGGCAGTCTGGGTTTTTTATGCAAGAATATTTTAGAATATTGCTTCATAAATGCACTGTGAGCTGATACAATATTGTAAGAACTCCAGCTTTAAAAAAGAGAAGAGAAGGTAAATTTTAAGTATCATAGGATAATAGTTTCCAAAGACAAGATTTTTAACTAAATACAAATTAAGTCTATGCTACTTACTAAAAGCATCAAATGACAAAAATGTATACATATTTTTGTTTTTAAAACTCACTATAAAAATTACATACAGTATACCTTAGTAAGAATCTCTTTTAAAATATTAAATTTATGACAATATTGATGTCAAGAATTAAACTTTGTAAGCTGATTCTTCTTAAAGCTTTTATTTTTATAACTAATTAAAGCTTTTAAATTTTACATAATTAAAATCTCTCTAAAATGAGATACAAATAGCTTACATGTACATTACTGGAAAGAATATTAATCTTTATTACACCCATTATATATAAAAATCTCACGCATTACTTTTAGGACTGAAATAAAAAAGTGTTAGACCAATTTATGAGTGTTCCCCAAATCTAAATCACTTAGGTCTAGGATGCTTTTTGTAAGTAAAGTAATGCTGGAGACCAGCAGATCACATAGCAATAGCATTGCTAGACTCCCACATGGTTGACTGCAGTTCAAGTCCTGGACCCAGTGGCTTCAAACTCATGCTGGCCACGTGTGCTCAAACGCCCAAGATCCCAGGAGAATGAAGGAGAAGGAATTATGGTGTGTTCTTCCTCACTGGTGGGTGATTTCTCACTTTCCTTTTCACTGTCTCTGCCCTGCTCTCTCTCTGGCAAGCACAAGAGCCCTAAGGCAAAAACCCCTGGGGGGTGGATTTCTGATGCTTTCCCTAAGGAATCACAAACTCCAAGGGAGAAGCTTTTTGCCTGGCTTCTTTGTTTTAGGTAACCTCCTCTGGAGATTCTTATTGTAGCCAAGTTTGATCCACTGCAAACATCAAAAATGCTAATAAAAAAGATTCACAGAAATATAGAACATTGTCATTAAATCCTAGGTAATGACATTTGCTTTAGAAAAATATTCCTCATTCAATTTCAAATGAAAATGACCATGAAAAGTTGTTCAGTTTTTAAAAATGTTAAACATTCATCTTAACCGTTTATTTCAAAAATCATAAAAAATGATTATACTTTATATTGAACACTGACAAACATCTCAGTCAAGATTTGCTTCATGGTAATGAATATAAAAATTCTCAAGAGAAGCCTTTTCTGATTTCATTTTTAATGTAAATAATAACAACACATACACCTTAAAAACATATTTAAATTAATTTGATTGATTTAAACAATACAATGTGGATGTAGTTTAATATGACATTAGGCATTTTTATTTCTTTTCTCACTGTATACAGATTCATTGACCAAGAGTCCACTCTTTTTTAAATCCAACCATTGATTTTATTGGAGATTTCAAAAATATTTTTTTTTTGTCTGTTTAGAAGTAACACAGCAGGTGGCATAATGGTTACATAGGCAAACTCCCTGGTAGTCCACTGTGGTTTGAGTCCCGGACCTGATGGCTTAAAATTCATGCCAGGTGCATGTGCATGTGTGCCTAAGATCCTAGGAAGAGAATGGAGGAGAAGGGATTGTGGTGTGGCCATCTCCCCGGGGGGTAATTTCTCACTTTCTGTCTCTCCAGCAAGCACATGTGCCCTATCGAAAAAATGAAAAAATAAAAAGACTCTCTTAAAAAAAGTAACATTCTGTAATCGTCCATTTTACAAATCTACTTGTTTTCTATTTTATTTTAATTGGGTATCTGCTATATTCCAAGCTTTGCACTAAGATTTTTTTAGAGTATTTTTGGTGTGTCACATATTCATGTAACTGATGATGCTGATGTGTTTTATTTTCTATTCTATATGTGAAGAAACATCAAGCTTTTTAATTGGCCTGATTCATATAACCTAAAACATGGAGGAAAGAGAGGACAAATAAAACTTACATATGCTACAAAATCCATTCCAATAAGCTTCAGATATACTTCCCCTCAATTAATTACAAATGTTAGTTCTTTCTGTGTGTTGAGCACTGTCCTAGGTAATTATGCTTAAATAAATGTATCAGGTCATTTAATGCTTTTACAACTATATTACCTAAAAACTCTATCATCCCACTTTATACATGAAGAAACTGAGGCCCAAAGGAGGACTAAACTATGGGTTTTTTGTCTATACTCAGCCCAGATTCTAAAACTTGGAACTTTATTATCTGTGACCTGGATAGATTAGCTTTGAAGTGGCTAAGAAGTTTATCTCAAAATACTAAAACCTTTGTCTTATCATTTCCTATGTAGGTATTTATTTCTTCCATGAGAAATACAGTCAGAGAGAGAGAGGTATCCCCAGCAAAATCTTCATAATCTACTCTCAGCTTCAGTCATCTCCAGATCATGCACATGAATGCATCCAGCATGTTCAGGAAGTTCTGAAGATATAAAGGCAGAACTTTCTGTTGTGGGTCAGTCTTACAAGGTACAGCATTTCTGCTGGACCTCCATTTGTCCTACCCTTCTTATTTTCCTTATTTGTGACTGAGCTGTTTATTCACTTAACCTTGGAAATTTCCAACATGTGATGACTGGTGTATATAATCAGTATATATAATTGGAGTCTCCAAAAGAAGTGACATATGCGAAAGGGTTAAAGTGAAAAAATCAAATGAGGGACCAGCTGGTGGTGTAGTGGTTGGGGCACTAGTTTCCCACATGATGGTGATCGTAGTCCTGGACCAGGCAGCTTGCTTTCTCACTCTTCCTCTCTTTCTCTCTCTCTCTGTATTTCTCTGGTGAGTGCATGTGTCCTGTAGCAAATTGAAAAAGAAATAATAATAATAGTAATCTTTTTTAAAAAATCAATTGCCAGAAATAGAGGTGATGTGAGATTAAGAATGAAGCCCTGAGTGCCCTGTGATGTATTTTGTATGCCATAAAAATGTAGTTTGGCAATATACTTCTATTTCTTGGCCTCTTGTTGAAACAAAACTATATATCTCATATATCTCTATGTATTCTGAAGGAATTCATTATTGTGTAAACCATGTGAAATCTGTAAACTAATGCATCTAAATATGGATATCCCAAATATGAATGTGTTTTTAGGGTAAATAAAAGAAAACATAGTTGAATCTAAACCTAAGACCTTAAACTATAAACTACTGGAGAATAGCATAGGGGTAATTCTTGGAGACATTGGAGTAGGCAAAGATGTCTTAAAGACACACAAAGCACAAGCAATAATTCCAAAAATAGACAAGTGAAATTATAATAGATTAAAAAGCTTCTGTACAGCAAAAGAAACAATAATTTGAGTAAACTGACAATCCTCAGAATGGGAACATATATTTTCAGTCTATGCCTCAGAAAAAGGAATGATAACCAGGATAGGGAGTTCAAACAGTATACCCAGGGGGAAAAAAAGCCAATTAAAATATGGGTAAATGAGCTGAAGACAACTCTCTAAGGAAGATATATAAATAACTAAAAAGCATACTAAACAATGCTCAACATCTCTTATCATAAGTGAAATGCAAATCAAAACCAGAATGAAATACCACTGAACCCTAGTCAGAATGGCTACGATAAAAAAATAAATATGACAGGTGCTAGTGAGGCTGTGGAGAAAAGAGAACTCTCCTCCTCTGTTGTTTGGAGTGTAAATTAGAACAGCCACTGTGAAGAACGATATGGAGGTTCCTTAAAGAGGTACAAATAGAGACATCACATGACCCAGCAATGTCATTCCTGGGTGTCTACCTAAAGGATAGGAAAATGTTTAGCTGGAAAAAATACTTGCACATTCTTGTTTATTGCAGCATTATTCACAATTTCTAAGACATGGAACCAACCCAAATGCCCATGAACATGTGAATGGATTGAAAAACAGTGGCACATTTACAGTACAGAATACTACTTGGCCTTAAAAAAAAAAAAAACAATGAGATACTGGCATTTGATAGAAAGTGGACAAATGTGGATTATTTGCTGCTAAGTGGAGCAAGCCAGATTATGTAAGAGAGGCATCATACATACTCTCAATATATATATCAAAAGTCTGCACTCTATGGCAGAAACTGAAAGATCGGAAGGTATAAAAGCCTCAAGAACAACGGTGATACTAGAGACAGTGCAGGAGGAAGGTGGGAAATGAGGTAGAGTAAGAGGAAGGGAATCAAGGGGAACAGAAAGAAGCAAAACATTCGAGGTACACAGAAATGGACAATGATCTGTTGTTGATAATGTATATAGTAATATCTTTGACTGAACCAATATATACTGTATTCATGATGCTAAAATTCATTTGGTATGCTGTAATGATACACAGCAAGTGAATGTAAGAAAATTTAATAAATAAATTTTAAAAAAAACAACATAATTTAAAAAGCCAGGGACAAAACCACAATTTAGAACTATAGTAAGACAGGAGAGTGGATCATGGCCATGAAGAGTTATCTAACATTTGAATATTATCCAGATGATATACTTTCCACAATTTTCCAGGCGATGAATGAACACCACCTACAGATAAAGAAGTTGCCCTTTCATTGAAACTCATCTGCTAAGAACTAATCTACAAAAAAAAGACGTCCAAGTACCTCAAGCAGATAAAAGAGACACGTATCCAAATCCGAACATTTTATACACCAGCACTCTGGAGCACTTTCAGTATGCTCTACATTAAGGATCACAGAATTACTGCTTTTAGTGGTAATAAGCAGCCTCAAGCAGGTAATGAACGGTGGTAACCGGGGTACCTTGAAATAAGCAAGTACACGAAGAGGATCAGATTCATGAGCTTTCTCTTAAGTTCAGTTTTCTCAAGTACCAATGTGAGGGGGGAGGTCTTCAAAAAGCTCATGGAAAAAGTATATGATGAAAAAAAACTATGGATTTCAGAAAATATCTTTGCACCGAAATAAACTTGGACTTTAATCCCACTTTTCTCCCACCGATTTTTTTAAAGTCTCCTCATACAGGTCCAATGTGGTCACATATTGCAGGGATGTTTTTGCTCTTACTGTTTTCTTTACAGAAACCAGAAAT